CTGTAATCCTAGCTCTTGGGAGGCTGAGGTGGGGAGGATTGAGGTTCGAGGCCAGCCTGGGCAAAGAGTTCACAACTCCAAAATAACCAGAGCAAAATGGAGTGGAGGTGTGGCAAAGTGGCAAATCCTGAGTTTAAACCCCAGTCCTGCCAAGAAAGAGAGAGAGAGAGAGAGAGAAGATTCCATGAGGCAGGGGGTGGATAGTAGGAGGATCGTGGATGGTCTAAGGCTGACCCTAGGAAAAAAGCATGAGACCTTAGCCTAGAAAATAACTAAAAGTTAAAAAAAAAAAAAAAAAGGCGGGAGGCTTAGCTTAAGTGTTAGAGCACCTGCCCAGCAAGTGCAAGGTTGAGTTCAAACCCCAGTACCACCATTTTAAAAAAAGGAAGAAAATCGTATTAAATTTTGTAGTTCTGATACTATTTTGGTAACCTTTTTTTTTTTTTTTGGCAGTACTGGGGTTTGAACTCAGGACCTCACAGTTTGCTTGCATGTGTTTTACCACTTGAACCACACTTCCAGTCCCTGGTTACACTTTTTTTAAAAAGAGAATCTTCATGTTTTAGATCTACATTTTTCCCCTTGGTGTTTGAACTCAGGGCCTCACTCAGGGCTTGCTAGACAGGCCTCTACCACTTGGCAGGTGCTCAACCACTTAAGCCACTCTGCCAGCCCAAGATCTACATTGTAAAAGATTTATAAAGACGAAATCTGGGCCTCTGTGTAAAATAAAACAGTGAGGATATTATGGGTATACACAAAACAAGTCTGGCCATAAATTGATAATGATTGGATCTTAGTATACTGTTTCCTGGAGTTTTTGCTTTATTGAAAACAGCTTTACTGTTGCCAATGCCAGGGTCACCTTCCTTTTCAAGGCTGAGTAATATGCCACTGTGTGTAGATCACATTTGCTTCCACTCTCTCCATCCTTTGTCTCTCAGTGAGCACTTGGGTTGCTGCTGTGGCCATTGTGAATGATGCTGCAGAGTACGTAGTCCCGTGAGTGCTGTTTAGAGGTCTTGACTTCAATTCTTTTGGAGCTGTACCTGGCAAAAGGACTCCCACATGGTGGGAGTTCTCTTCTTAATTTTTTGAGGGACCTCTGTACTGTTTTCATAGCTACTGTGCCATCTTAATCTGTACCTGTGATGTGCAAGTGTTCCAGTCCCTCAATCTCACCAACACTGAGTTTTACAAATAATATACATCCTAACAGGGTGGGGAGGTGACAGCTCATTGCTGTTTCTATTTGCATTTCCCAATGCTGGGTTTTTGTATTGTTTTGTTTTGTGCTTGTGTATGGAATATTTTCGAGATAAGGTTTCAAGAACTATTTGCCCAGGCTGGCTTCAAACTTCGATCCTCCTGATCTGTGCCTCCTGAATAGCTAGGATTACAGGCACGAGCCACCGTGCCTGGCCCCAATGCTGATTTTGAGCACCTTTTCATGTATCTTTTAGCTGTTTGTATGTTTTCTTTGGAGAAGAAATATCTGGGGAGTTCCTTATATATTTTGGAAATAACCACTTATCTGATATATGGATTGCAAATGAATTGTCATTTCACTCTTTGGATTGTTTACTGCACCGAGGTTTTTTAATTTAATGTAATCCCAATTTTTTTTGTTTTGTCGGTTTTTTTTTTTTTTTGTGGTATCAGGGTTTGAACTCAGGGCTGGTCTCATGCATGCTAGACATTTGAGCCACATCCCCAGTCCTTTTTTGATTTAGTTATTTTTCAAATAGGGTCTCATGGTTTTGCCTGGGGCTAGCCTCAGTCCAAGTTCCTTTTATCTATACTCCCTGCATAGCTGGGATTGCAGGTGCACACCCCTGCACCCAGCCTGTTTGTGCTTTTGGTGTCTTACCCAAAAATAATTAACAACACCAATGTTAAAGAGCTTGTCTACTATGTTTTCTTCCATGGGTTTTAGTTCCAGGTCTTACATTTAAGTCTTTAATCCATTTTGAGTGGATATTTGTGTGTGGAAGGAAGGGGTCCAGTCTCATTCCTTTGTCAAAGATCCGTTGGCCATATATGTGTGGGCTTATTTCCTGGCTCTCTGATCCATTGGTCTATACACTTCTTCATGCCAGTACCATACAGTTTTAATTACTGTACTTTCATGATACACTCTGAATCAGGAAGGCTACAACATGGATGAACCTGAAAGACATTATGCTAGGTGAAACTAGCCAGTCACAGAAAGACAAATGCCATACAAATTCAACTGTGTGAGGTGTCTAATTGACTCACAGAAGCAGAGACTACAACGGTGCTTTCCAGCACTGGGGCGTGGGGGACCTGGGAGTTGTCAAATGGATGTAAGGTATCTCTTATGCTAGATGAGTAAGTTCTAGAGAGCTGCTCTGTGCAGCGTGGTGCCATTGGTGACAATATGGGAGAGTGCCATGGGAACAAAAGTAAAGGGACGTTGGAAACTTTGGAAGGTTGGAATGTTATTCCCTCAATTGTGGTGGTGGAATCACAGGTGTTTACACCTGTGTACGTTACGGGTGTAACTTAAGTTTGTACACACAAACTTATCAAATTTCACGCATTAAATACATGACCTTTGTGTATAAATTATACCTTAATAAAGCTCTTTAAAAACAACTTTATGCCAATAAAACCTACCAATTATAAAAGTGTACAACTTAATTTTTGGCAAATTAGATACAGAGATACACAACCATCATTACGATCCAGTTCTAGAACATTCTGTCACTCCAAACTTCCCTTAGGCCCCTGTAGTCATTTCCTATTCCCACCCCTATCCCTAGCCCTAGGCAACAATGAATCCGCTTTCTGGCTCTCCAGAATTGCCTGTTATGGAAGGTCCAACTAAATGCACTCACACAGTACTCTGTACTAGTATATAAACTGGACATTTTCTGTAATAAAAACAACCTTTGTACAATAGAACAGTGACTTAAATTTGTATGGCACTTTTTTTTTTTAAGCAGCTTTAGATTCACAGCTACATTGAGCAGAATTCAGAGTCTCCACATAGCGCCTGCCCCACCCCAGGCACTGCCTCCCCCACTGTCCAACCTCCCACCAGAGGGTGCGCTTGTTACAGTGAATGAAACGCCGTTGACCTTGGTTGTCATCAGCCAAGGTCCATAGCTTCCGGATGGCTCACTCGGAGTTGCACGCGTTCTGTGGGCTTTATACATCTATTATGACACAGATCACCATTGCGGTTTCACAGAGAGTGCCACAAACATCCTTGGAGCACTTCTCTTTTCCTGTGTGCTTTCACTGTGCTGCTGCACCAGGATGGCACGTGTTCGAACCAGGGGAGAAAGTAGGCTGGACATTTTGTACGACTTCCACAGAGGGCAGCCCAAGGCTCAGGGGTTTAGGGGACCAGACCAAGGTCAGAGAGTTAGAAGCTAATTAGGACTCAGTTTTGGCCTCTGTCACCTGGCGAGATACTTCCCCATCATGCTGCCCCCCTAGCCTGCCCCCCACATCACTTAGTGCCACATCTAAGCTACAGGCCAGGCCGACCAGTGAGACCCGTTACAGAACCGATCTCAGGGTTGCTTCCCACCTGGAGAATCAGGCAAAACTTCCCTTCTCCTGGGCCTGAGGTAGAAAGGGAATGCCAATTGCCCCAGAGGCGTGGACCCTAAGGAAATTGAGCGAGTTGGTTTCTCTATTTATAAGACGCAGGGGGCAGAAATAGGTTGGTCGGTGTGCACACGAGCTGTGTGTTCCTCGCCTTTGGGGAGGATGGGGGAGTGAGCGAGGACGAGGAGTGTAGAGGTTGCTCAAGTCCTGTGACACTCGGGGGCGTGCGTCTCCCTGCGCACGGGGGGGCGCCTGTAGGGGGCGCTGTGTGCTGGCCTTTGCCGCACAGTCGGCGAGCCCACGCTGAGCACTTAAAAACGATTACCCTCTCTGCAACCTCCTACTTTGGTATTTTAATAGTTAGTCTCAGGAAGAATGCCGAAGAAACGGATGGCGCTTTTCTCTCTGGGGGATGGGGCTGAGAGTCTCAGGACTCGCTGTCCACGACATGGCCTCTTGTTCCATTTGAATTTTTTGTAATGTATTTGCGCTGTTGTTATAAAAGGAGGGGTAAATTATTACTGGGGAACACGTGTGCCTGTCTCCCTGAAGAAATTGCTTGCATCTGCCTTAACGCAGCAGCATGGCACGGGCAAATGCATGTTCTCACCCACTTGCTCACTCGACAAGTGTTTCCTGTGTGCCACCAGCAAATGTGACAACGATCCCTGGCCTACAAGGGAATTCCACTCCGCCGGGGGTAGCAAGAAACACAACAAAATCAACAAGTTCTATGGGACAGAGACAGGGAAGCCAGGGAAGACGATGGGGAGGACTGGGGGTGACAGGAGGTCACATTGGATAGGTGGCCTGTGAACAAGGAACAAAGAGTAGGAGGTGGTGAGGAGTGACCGGGGACCTGCTGGCACCAAGCGGGCTCTGGGCAGAAGGAACAGCAGATGCAAAGGCTCCGAGGCAAGAGCGGGTTGGTACATTGGAGGCTCAGCCAGGAGGCCAGGGAGGCTGCAGAAAAGTGAGGAAGAGGAGCTGGGGGTCGGGAGGGAAGAGGGTGACCAGACCACGTGGACCTTGTGGGCCACGGAGGGGTCTTCGGTTTTTAATCGCAAGTGAGGCGTAAGTCATTGGAGGGTTTTTCGAATCTCACCTCTGGGCTCCCTCAGTCAGAGGGGATCCAAGAGCTGCCGGGGTGTGGGGGGTGGGGGGTGTGTGGATCGGGTGGTGGCAGTGAGTAATGGGTGTCACACTCTGGGAATATTTGGAAGCCCGGCGGCAGCTGCCCGGGGGTTGGGCGCGGAGCTCGCAGGTTGGTGGCCTGAGCAGTGACAGTTTGGAGGTGGGGGCCCCGGAAGACGTGTCGCGAAGGGGTGGGGCTTGGGTTCCGACAGGGTCCTCCCCGCTGTCCATCCCCGGTACGGGCCCTCGGGCGCCCCCTGGCGCGGGACGGCGATGGCGGCGGCGATGGCGGCGGCCGGGCCGCGGGGCGGCGGGAAGCTGGTGGAGCGGGGCGCGCCAGGCCGTCGGGCCCTGTACTTCTGCGGGAGCATCCGCGGCGGACGAGAGGACCAGGCACTGTACGCGCGGATCGTGTCCCGGCTGCGACGCTTCGGGGCGGTGCTCACGGAGCACGTGGCGGCCGCCGAGCTGGGCGAGCGCGGTGAGGCTGCGGGGCGGGGGGGGGGGGGGGCGATCAGGGCCGCGCGTGTCCCCATTACAGAGGCAAGGACCCGGTCCCATCAGCGCCCAGCTGACTTTACCCTCAACCCCTCCAGGGTGAATACGGAGCAGAGCAGAAAGCAGTTGGACGGGGCTCAGCCCCACCTCCCGTGCTTCCCCCCTCCCCTCCCCCAATCCCTTCCCTCCCCGTCCCATCCAAAACGAAGTTTTACTTCCCCGCCAGGTCCCTCTCTCAGACCCCACCGACCCCAGTTCTGGCCACCACTTTGTTTCGGCTCCTACTAATGTGATTCTCATTGAAAAATACTGTTAAGTCTTTCCACAGCAAGGCTTTCATACGTTGGTCTGGAATTCCACCACTACTCTAGTTTGAAAATTATGCTTAGAACTCTTACAGTTCTGCTCAGAAAACTTTTAAGAGGTTTCTTTTGGCCCAGCCAAGAACAGATACAAGATTTGTGGGGCCTAATGCAATTCCGGGAGACCTCTTTAAAAATAAGACAAAAACCAGACCAAGTACAGAGTCTCACATCTGTAGTTCCAGCTATGTGGGAGGCCATATTTCGGATTACCTGTCTGAGGAAGGGGCAAAAATGTGACATCCCATCTGAAAAATAACTAAAGCAGAAAGGGCTGGGGTCATGGCTCAAGTGGTACAGTACCTGTGTTTTGCAAGTGCAAGGCCCTGAGTTCAAACCCCAGTACCAGCCCCCCCTCCCCCAAAAATCCCCAAATTACAAAAACCACAAAATAAAGTTACTAGAGGACTGCAAAGTACCTGTGCCAGTGAGGGACCCAAAGCTTAAGGTTCACCAGTTTCATGGTATAGCCACCTCTGCCTGGTGGCATGGTAGTTCTTGAAGTATAGAGTGCTCAAGTGTCACTGGGGAACTTGTTTAGAGTGCAGTCTAAGCCAGATGTGGTGATACAGTTCTGTTATATCTGCTAGGGCAGGAGAGTCAGGAGTTCAAGCCTAGCCTGGGCTCCATGGTGAGTTCCTATCTAAAGAAAGAAAAAACAGTCTGGTAGTCTGGGCCCTGGGGTTTGAACTCAGACCCTTGAGTTTGCCAGGGAGGTGCTCGACCACTTGAACTATTCCACCAGCTTTTCGTTTTGTTTGAAGAGTCGTCTTAGTATGTGGCCCAGACCTGTCTCAACCCCGAGCTCAAAGGATTCTCCACATCCCAGTATCTCCATGAATGGGCTTAACAAGCACTCCAGTGGTTCTGCTCATGCTGTGTGAGCCTCGCCGTCTTGAAGAGCAGCATTTAATCACGCTGGAAGCTGTGATCCCTTCCCCTCCCGCCCCGGTACTGGTCTACTTTTGGCCAAGTGCCCATGTGCCTTTCCCCAATCACACATTGCCACCTTGCACAGGGTTGAATTTTTCTTGTGGCTGTTCCATCTCTTGTCCCTTTTGGTGGACTCCTATGTTCCCTTGGTAGTCATTTTGCACAAGACTTCTGCCCTCCATGTGCAGGGTGGATACGGAGAGCAGCAAGGGCATAGAGGTTACAGGATACTGAGCCAGGGCAGAGCATCCTTAACCAGCTGTCTGTGAACTACAGGGGAAGAGGCTGCTGGGGGTGACAGGTTCATCCATGAACGGGACTTGGCCTGGCTGCAGCAAGCAGATGGTGAGTGGCCTACCGTCAACCTCCTCTGGTTTGGTAGATTCCTGGGAATTCCCTGGCTTCTGCACCTAGAAGGGACTCCCTAGAATTCCCTCCTCACCACAGCCACTGTCGACCCTTACAAAGCCTAGGTGCCCCAGGTTTTGAGCCTTAGTCCCTCTCTTCCAGTGGTCGTGGCTGAAGTGACACAACCATCCTTGGGTGTCGGCTATGAGCTGGGCCGGGCCGTGGTCCTCAATAAACAGATACTATGTTTGTTCCGCCCGCGGTCTGGCCGAGGTGAGCACCCCTGCCCTAGGTGGGCACCCCTCCCTCTCTGGCTTTCTGTGGACCCCCCAGTTTCTTCTTTGGTGGCTCTGAGCACAGCCCTATCCCTAGTGAACTGGGGCTGGGAGCTGAGAAGTTTGGAAGACAGTTTTGCTTTCACCCCTTCTCAGCACTTTCAGCCATGATCCGGGGAGCAGCAGATGGCTCAAGGTTCCAGGTGTGGGACTATGAAGAAGAAGAGGTGGAGGCCATGCTGGATCGATACTTTGAGGCTGGTCCTGCTGAGCAGGTGGCTGTCTCCCGTGACCCAACTGCCACCTTCTTACCCTAACACTACTCTAGTGGCATTCCTGCCTTAGCCTCAGTAGGAAATTAAAAAGTCTATGAAATTCCATCTGTATTATAGTGAGGTGGGGCAGACCCTCAGTAATAGCCCTTTCCCACCCCATGTCATTTTACGGCACAGAGACCCTTTAGAAGCTTATATGCCCCAAAAGGCCACCTGGCCCCTGAGGAATGCTCAGAGTGTGGAGAAGTCTGGGCATGGGGCTGGACCACTCTTCTCTCATCTCTGAAGCCTGCTGGGTCTGCACCTGGCCTGGACCACACAGACTTTCATCTCCTTGTATCAGCTTAGGTCAGATGGGTCTCTGAGGATAGAAGAGTCTGGAAGTCTAAAGAAAACTCTTCCTTCTAAAGAATGAAGGGGGCTAGCTGTGGAGGGGATCTTGGGGGTCGCTGAAGATGGCTGGCCCCTGAGGCAGCTGCCCAGCCTGCTTCCAGGGAAGTACGTGATAAAAAGTTTATTCAGTAAACAGAAGGTGCTGCAGACGCTGGGAATCCCCTCTCCCATGACAGTGAAACGGTGAACTCCCCACCCCCACAACCCCATGACTGTGGTGGGACAGCTCCAGGTGTTTCCTGCATCTTGCCCCCCCCTCAGTCATAGGCCTCATCGTCTTCATCCTCATCACCAAAGAAGAACGTCTCTTGGTTTAGGTTCTCAGATTCCTCATCATAGGAGAAGCTGTCATTGTCCAGCTCCTCATCAAACTCCTGCTGCCACTCGGGCACATCCTCCTCATCCTCCTCGTCCTCTTCCTCCTCCTCTTCCTCGTCCTCTGCTTCAATCCCTGAGGAACTCTGGGGCCTAGGGAGAACCAGAACACTCGGCCCAGAGAGACCTGACATCACCCACTGCTCCTCCAGGGCTCTGCCCACCCTACTTACTGATTGCTGGGCACATTGGATCCTTTTGCCTCCCGGGCATCTAATGATGGACTCTGGAGACCAATTCGGAAGTCCTGGCAAGGAGACAGAAGGATTTGGGAAGCAAGAGAGCAGAAGGCACTGGGGCCTCTGTGCTTGGCGTTCCTTTCATCTGACATTTCTTGAGGGCCAGGCTCCCTGCTCCTCACCATGGCCCTTCCCAAGCCACTTTGTTCACTTTCACTCCCTGAGGGTCTCCAGGGATAAGAGTGCAATAGTGGGCACTCCACCCTATGCTGAAGGCACTTAGGATGTGTTTGTCTTTTCTGCCCAAGTTCCCCAGCAGTCAGTAAAAAACCTAGGGCAGGGTTCACAGTTTGGGCTCAACATCTGTGTATTAGAGCTAGAGAGAACCTTGGAGACCCCTTATTCCAGTAATCTGCCCCCAGTCCCATACTCCTAAGATTCTGAGTCCACATCTGAGAAGTATAGTTTGAAAAAGTTCTGAGTGATCCTGATGGGCACGCGATGTGGGAAAACCAACCTCTATCTTGTAGGAATCCCTAGAAGGCTAAGTGACATGGTGGGCAGCAACCAGCAAGCTGGCCTAGGAGCTGGGACATGTGCCCAGGCCTCCTGACACCAACTCACTCCCTTGCATTTCCCGCTGGATTAGACCCAGGGCACAGGACCCAATCCCTGCCAAGTGCCGGGCATGAGAGAGGCTGGGGCAGTACCTGCGTGGAGTGCTGCAGGATGGCGAGCAGCCTCTCCTGGATCCGCCGGAGCAGCTCCATACCCATGCTGAGGCAGTCTGCCCGCAGGAGACGCAGGGAGGAGGCCAAGTCTCGGCAGCGCAGCAGGGTCTCCTCTGCAGGGGCAATCAAAGGCTTGCTCCCTTCTCCTATTCCATCTACTTCTTCCTCCTCCCAAAACCTACAGAGCATCCACCAAGTGCCAAGTATGGCTCTCAACGCTCATTTTCATGGAATTCACATGCCAGGGGCAGGGTGCAGACCAGCATCAAAGGACAGGTCAGGTGCACATCTGTCCCACTGGCCCCTACAGCACGCACTTTAGATCTGAGGGGGAGAAGGCTTTGCAGAACAAAGAGGAGGGCTGGGGCAGAGTGAGTATGGGGCGCTGTGTGACTGCACTGTGGTAGAGGTGTTAGGCTCACCGAGGAGGATCTGCAGGGCATTGGTGTGGAGCTCCAGGTTCTCAGTCTGCTGCTCCACCACATCCATGTACTCTGTGTCCTGGCTGTAGAAGCTATAGACACAAGCATAGGCCAGCACCTAGGAGAGCCCCGGTCACCTTTCCTTTCCTGAGGCCAGGCGCTAGGCATTTCTGCCCCCACCTGCCCACTCCTCATTCCCTCTATCCAGGCAAGTCAGATGAAAGCAGCCAAGCCCACCCAGCCTCCTGCCCGCCTCCCCGTCACTACAACCTTTCGAGCTTGCTCAAGGCCCCGGCAGGCATCACTGAGGAAGGTGAAGGATTTAGGTGGGGGCACCTCATGGATGGCAGAGACCCGGTTCCGCAAGTTCACAGCAAACTCCTATGCAAGGAAGGTGCTCAGCACAGCATGTGCAGCTCCAGCCCACGCAATCAGTCAGTACCCCATGCAGTTCTGACCAGGCAGCCACCCCAGCCCTTTGACCTTCTCACCCACCCACCCATTGCCTCCCTGCTCACCCGGGCCTGGTGATGGAAAGTGCACCTCTCATTGTAGTCCTGAAACCGCTTCTCCTGACGAGCTGCTTTGCTTACCTGGTAAGGACAGACGGAGAGGGTTGTTGGGTGCTTCATTTGGACAGGGTGGAGTTAATAGTTAGAATAGCCACCGTTCATGAGGCCCTTCTACACTTTACCCAAATTTTCATTTAATCCCCACAGCTGTGCAGGCTGCCATATTATCATTTCCCTTTACAGGTAGGAATGCTGAGGTCTGCCCAAAGTCACACACAGCAGACAGCAGGCTCTGACTCCAGACTCCTTGCTCTGCTCTGGCACTTGCTGATATTCCATCCTTCCCAAGCTTTCTGTGGCCACTTGGGTGGGAACAGCCCTATTCTAAAGCTGAAGACCCCCCAGGAGTAACCCTTCCAGTACAGAATTCCCAGCAACTGCAGGCCCAGGTGGATTCTGTCCTCCTGCCACTGAGCCTTTGTCCCAATCACTGTCATACTCCGGACATAGGCCTCTTGCTCAGGACTAGCAGCAGCAGCCCATCCTGACAGCTTCAGGGTCTCAGCCTCTTCAGGTGACCAGCTCCTTACCATGGCAGAGCAGTTGTAATAGTCCTTGTGGTTTGGCTTCCAGGGCTTGAGGCAGCGCCAGCAGAATCCATGGTTACATTTGGCACAGGTCATGCTACAGAGGAAGCGAACTGGTCAGAGGGCACCTGTTTCTGGGCACCAAGGTCCTGGATATACCACTGATGATGCTCCAGGCATATTGTCTGCAGTCTCCTTCACCTTCCCTGCTGAATGCAGCCTTGCTTTTGAATTTCCTCACAATGTAGACTTCAAAGTGGGGGAAGAAATATTAAGATCCAGGAAGTCACTCTGGAGTATCAAGTGAGATGTGCCAACATTCACAATAAGCCTCACCGTCCTCTCCTACTGCCAGGCCTCCCCACTTCTCCCTCACCCTTTGGTGCCCCCAGTCCCCACAGTACTCCCTTCTTACTGCAGGCACCCCTCGTTCTTCTCAATGGGAGCCTGACAGCTGGGACAACGTTTGGAGATGAGCTTGGCCAGGTGCTTGCTCTGGGCCTCCACACTCATGCCATCATAGTAGCCGCCATCATCAACCCACTGAGACATGTGGCCACAGCTGGCAGGGTAGTGTGCCTAAAGCAGGAGGGGAGGTAAGGACACAGCTGAGCCCTGACAGGGCAGCACTGCTGATGTGCATGGAGAGAGAGAGCAGAGAGAAGACAGGTTATATGTTAGGGACTGTAAGAGGGGAACAACACAGCCAGGTGGCAGAGGATGAAGAAGAGCAAATATATTTATGTGTGTGGCAAAAAGGGGTGCTGAGCAGGGCAGGAGTGAGAGCCCTTGCTTAGAGCTGGGGCTGGAGGGTGGGGGTAGGCATACCCACCTCAGGAAAGCTACAATTGAAGCAGGAAGCCCAGCCACACTTAGAGCAGGTGGTCCCACAGCCCAGGCCCTGGCGACACAGGATACGGTCACAGCCCTGAGGGTTAGTGCACCAGGTCAGGTTGGAACAGCTCTCCACATAGCCTCGCAGGAGGGCCTTCTCAAACTGTGGATAACAGGTGCCATGAAGTGAAGGCATGGCTCTCCAGAGGGCAAACCTTCAGAATGCCGACACCCTACAGGCCAACCGATCCCCTGGGGCCTGCCCCTTTGGCTCTGTACTGGGGCTTCAGATACCTTGGAGATGACCTCTGGTGAGGAGACAATGGCACGGATGAAGGCTCCAGTGGGCTGGGCAGGGCAGTCAGCAATGGGACAGGTGCAATTCAATACAAGGTTCTGCTCAATCCGAGTCGTCAGATACTCATTCCAGCAGGACTAGGAGGAATGAAAGAGGGCTGTTCAGAGAGAAGTGTTCTGGTCTCTTACCCAGCATCTACTTCCCACTCCATGGCCACATGGAAGGCCAGAAATAGCCCGTTCCTAGATCTACCTCACAGCTGACCTTGATCTTTCTAGCCTCCATGGGTTTTCCTGGGATTGGCCCAAATTACAATTGTCTTTGAGGATGTGTGGGCTTGGGTATTAACCTAGTTCTAACTACTGTTAGCAAGGACATGGAGTAGGTAAAGAGAATCAAGAAAAAGGAGAAAGCCAGGTGCCGATGGCTCACACCTGTAATCCTAGCTACTGAGGAGGCAGAGATCACGAGAGTTTGAGAGTTTGAAACCAGCCTTGGCAAATAGTTCACAAGACCCTGTCTTGAAAATACTCAACACACAAAAAAAAAGGGCTGGTGGAGTGGCTCAAGCAATAGAGTGCCTGCCTAGCAAACATGAGACCCTGAGTTCAAACCCCAGTACCACCAAAACCAAACAAACAAAAAGAAAGAAAAAAGAGAAGGACCCATGTCCTAAGAAAAATATGGAAAGAGTAGTATTACAATTTGGATATGAGGTGTCCCCCAAAAGACTCATGTACTGAAGGCTTGGTCCCTGATCTGAGCAGTGTTCAGAGGTCTTTTGAGAAGTTATGGATTATTGGTGCCTTGATCAATGGATTAATCCATTATGGAATCAAAATTTGAATAAAATTTAGCAAGCTCAAGACCCTGAGTTTAAGCCCAAGTACTGAAAAAAAAAAGTGTTTTTTTGGATACTGGAGATTGAACTCAGAGCCTTACACTTGCTAGGCAGGTGCTCTACCACTTAAGCCACTCTGCCAGCCTTTTTTGTGTTGGGTATTATTTTTGAGATGGTGTCTTGGGGTTTTTTTGCCTGAGCTGGTCTGAAACTGCAATCTTCCTGATCTCTGCCTCCCTAGTAGCTAGGATTTTAAGTGGAAGCCATGAGCACCAGCCCCATTTTTTTTTTTTAATAAGCTATCAGGAGGTGGTAGAACTGTATAAGATGAGGCCTGGTTAGAGGAAGTAAGTCACAGGGAGCATGCCTTTGAAGAGTGAGTTATCCCTAGTCCCTTTCTGTTTCTCTCTCTCTCTCTGCTTCTTGACCACAATGAGATGAACAGTTTTGTTTCTGCTTTGCCACAGGCCAAAAGAGCAATGGAGCCTAGTGACTATGGACTGAAACCATGAGCTGAAAGAAATCTTTCCTTCCTTGTTCCTCTCAGGTATCTGTCACAGCAATGAAAATCTGACTAACAAGCAGGACAGTCTGGGAAAGTGAATGGCCGGTGCCCAAACGGGAATTAAATGCAAAATTCTTGCATTTTTCGGAAAAACAAGGGGAAATTTTTCCAAATTCATACCCTACACTTGCAGGCACACAGTGCCTCAGGGTCCCCACAATGCTATAGGACAGAATCCTGGCAGCCCCCCACACCCCGAAGAAGCCCCCTTGCTCTGATGCCACCATCCAGACCAAGTGGAATGTGGTGCTGTCACCTGTCCTGTGCCTTTCCCACCTGCCAGCAAGGCTTACATTTGTGCCCTTCTCCCACTGCTCCAGACCTGCCTGTGTTACCTTCCTCTGCCTTCTCTGGCCTTGCCATTTGTGCCACTCAGTGATGGCTTATTCACAGGCTCCTACTTTCTTGGGACCTTTTTTTTTTTTTTTTTTTGGGTGGTATTGGAGTTTGAACGCAGGACATTGTGCTTACCTAGCAAGCACAATGAGGCAAGTCCCCAGATGCTCAGGTCAGAAACACAGGAACTGTCCTTGATTCTATTGTCTGAAGGCCTCCATGCCTAATGCACCAAGTCCTGTTGGCTCTACCTCCAAACATCCACATCTCCCGTCAACCACTGCCAGCCCAAACACCATCTCCTGCCTCTTTACACACAAGTCTCCAAATGAGCCTCCTCGCTTCTACCTTTATTCCCTCTAAGCCTTTTCTCCAAACAATGGCCAAAGTAGTCTTTCAAAAATGTAAATTACATTCCCTCACTCTCCTGCTTAAAACCCAGCATGCTTCCAATAACATCCACTGTCTGCCAATCCAACCCAACCAGACGTCCACTTCCTGAACCTCCCTTCTTACTACCTGCTGTGCTTCAGCCACCACACTAGTTCCTCTGCACTTGCTTTCCTCTAGTACAAACCCTTGAGATGGTTACCTCCTCTGACACACCTCCCTGACTTCCCCAATCTGAAGAAAAAGCCCCTCATCCCCACTCACTTCCAATGACATTACCCAAGTTTATCTTTTTCCCTGTACTTATCACCAAAGTGTGGAGAGAGGGCCCTGGGGTGAGACTGCCCAAATGAAGTCCTGACCTTGGACAAATCACTTCTGAGTGTCACCTTCTGTAATCTATGAAATGGAGATAGTGAAAGTACCTACCTCATAATACTATTACAAAGTAGAAATTCACATAACAGCATGACGCCTGGCCCAAATGAGCCCCGTAAATATTAGCTGCTATTATTAGTACCTCTCAGATCAGTTCTTGCTCAGATTTTATTCACTCCCTCATACAGCACCCAGCACCATGCACCTAGCAGGTCCACAGCAAATATTAGTTGAATGATAAAATGAAAGTATAAAGGAAATAATTAGGAACCTGGGAAGAAGGGAGACTAGGCAACTAGGAAGAAGACTCTAGAAGCAGGGGAAGGAGAAAAAACAAGAGGCACACACATGCAAATGCACATCTCAGATCACCCACCACTGGGGAGACTCTGTTGGGGGAGGCAGCTAGAATTCATGGTAACAAGGAGCACTCCTCCTATTGAGGTGATGTGTCAGGCAGGCATGAGTTCTAAAGAGCTGTGAAGCAGGGAATTCAGACTCAGCACTTCCAGTCCCCTGCTCCTTGACCCCCTCTCCTCTCCCTGCCTTTGAAGTTGGTTCACTCCCATTCTGCTTACTCTGTCACTTTCTAGCAACAAGCCTAACTTCCTTGAATCCCCTCTGCTTTGTGCTATTTCCTGATCTATGCCACCTTTTTTTATTTGTGTACTGAATGAAAATACATGATAAAAGAAGTGGTGTTCTGAGAGGAGGGAACTTGAAAGGTGATAAGGATATAATAAACTATAGTTATCACAAGTTTTATAACACTTCCTCATTTTTAAACTGCCTTGATATACAGCCTACACACTCACACACACCTTACTTCTCCAACTTGGCTGATAATTGAAATTGCCTGAGGGTTTTTTAAAACTTCAGGTGCCTGGGTTTTGCCTCCAGAGGTTGAGATTTAATCGGTCTGGGGTGCATTTAAAAGCTGGCAGTAATCATAATATGCAGCAAAGTGTAAAAACCACTGCTATATCACTGGATCCTAACAACCACTCTGAAGCATGTCAAGGCAGGTGGCACTACTTAGAGATAAGAAAGAGAAAATGCACCCAACATTGCCCAAGTCAGGAAATGGCAGTATTAAGCTAGAACCCAGGAATTTTGCAGGAACTGAGTTAGGCTGGCAAATCAGGGGCAGAGGAAAGGCTGGGACCTCACCTTACAGCAATAGTGCATGCAGCAAAGGAAGGGCAAGTCTTCATCAGGGTCCAGGGGGCTGATACAGACAGGGCAGTGATCTGGGCGTGCAGGGGCGGCCTGGGCCTGGGGTACACTCAGCCCAGCTGCCAGTAGCAGTGGCTCTGGGTCCTCACTGTAGCTCTGCAGCAGCTGTTCAGCGCCCCAGTGGGAATGAGCCAAAAGGTGCCGAGCAACATCTGGCTCTATGTTCAGTGTCTCTTGCACCTGCTGCACAGTCTGCTCCATCAACCCTTCTACCTCTTGGGGGCTCATGGTGCGGCCTGCAGGCAGCTGTAAAGATGCAAGGGCCACCACAGCTTCTGGGCTTGGGGAGAGAGAGGAGACAGCAGTTGGCATCCCTGCCTGTTTGCCCACCTACTAACTGAACCCCACCCAGGCCCCAGCTCCCTGTTTGTGCACTTGTGCTTGCACTTGCCTCAGCAGCCTGAGGTTAACCACCAGAACCAACTGTCAGAGAAGAGCCCTCCACAGAAGAATGTATAAAGGGCTGGGGCTGGCTGCAGCAATGACTGGGGGTACTACAGGGACCTAGTGGGCAGGGGTCAGAATGCTAAGTGATCTGTAGTGATGGGACAGTCCACAGCAGGTCCCACCTCAAATGCTAGCAGGATCTTTAGTGAGAAACAGTAGTTTACAGCCTTACTATGCAGTGTGGCTTGTGGACCTAGAAGCATGAGTATCACAGAGTGTGCCACCAAACCAGGATCTGCATTTAACTCCATCCCAGGTGATGTGTAAGCATACTGAGGTTTGAGAAAGATTACTCCAGAGAACTCACTTTATACACCACACAAACAGGCATAAAAAGTAATGTAATAATGGCTTCTGGTGAACTGGATCTGATGCTGGAAGTGTTAGGGTGCTGACTAATTAGAAAGTTAATAAATCCTCTGAGGAACAAGTTCCTTGAAAATTTCACAGAACGCAGTGCAAAGTTAGCACATCATACACATCTGTAGAGTATTTCATATTTTCTTAGAATGAGTCATTTATAATCGAGCCTGGATGTCTGGGTCCCTTGCCCAAGGGCTGGCTCTAGGAAGATAGGGATAGCAATGCCCCTGATTGCAGGGAAGGGGGTGGTGGTGCTCAGCGGGGGAATGAAGAATTGCAAAGTAGGAGAAATAAGAGGGACAGGGAAATGTTGGCAATAATGGCGCCGATAGGTTTCAGTTCTTGCCGCACCCTTAAGCTTCTGTTTTCCAGGGTCACGGTCCTGCCTCAAGTCTAGCTTGAATCCTCCTTCTGCCCCAACCTCCAATCAGCATGAACCTTAAGATCCTAACCAATCAGATCATGCTGAGTCCCACTGAGGGGTATTTAAGCCCCTGCCCCTCTCTCCCTCTTTCTCTTGGCTCTCTGCTCTCTCCCTCTCCCACCCAGCAATAAAGAATCTCTTGGCCAGATCACTCCTCTCCACGTGGTCACTTTTGGGGCCTGTATTTCCTTACAGAAAATGTGACAGAACAAAGAAAAAGTGTTTCTCTATAAGTGAGCTTGTCACCACTTCACTACAAGGGGATAGAGGTAGGGGTAACTACCTAGGCTTGGAGGTCTCAGTGTTCTGGTTGCCACAGAAGGAGACATCTGCCTGACCCCGGCAGGGCCCCATGGGCTCTGGGGTGGCATACATCAGGATCTGGGGCCGGTCATCACGACGTTCCACATAGCCCTGGCCCAGAAGGTGCAGGATGCAAGAGAGGACATCAGTACTCGTACAGGCCACACCCCCAGCAACAGCTCGGCCCAAGCTCCCAGGGGGATTTGGACCCTTCTGCCAGGCCTCCAGCACCTGGATGGGAGGAAAGAAACAAGGAAGCTACTCTTACCTAGGGGAGCCAGAATACTTGGATTTAATGTCTGGCTCTGCCACTTACTGGGTAAGTTACTAAATTTTTCATGCTCACTTTTTTTAATCTGTCAAATAAAATAATAATACTTATTTTGGAGGATTATTATGAGGACTAAATAGCTTAATTATGCACATGGTAAACACTCATGTCTTACCTCTGTTTTCTGTGTACTGCCCTGTCGGGAAACCCAGATGGAAGTGCTACCCAATGGAGATCTCACGTTGTGAGAGTTTACCTTCCCTTGTTAGGACCTCTGGCTCTATCCCTAACCCCAAGCATGACTCCTTTCTTCCCGGGGCATTGTCCCCTCTCTGCCTACCAGACAAACCAACTGGTCAATGTGAAGGCCTTTCTCCCCATGGGCTTTGAGAATACGGACAAGAAGACAGCTCAGGAGGTTCCTCTTCTGTTCCAGGGTTCGGCCCTCATCCTTCTCTACATTCAGGTACGTCTGAGGAGGTATCAGCCACAGGGCCTCCTCACCGGGCTGGGACCCAGGCTCACGAAGCTGCAGCACCCCTGGAATTCAGTTCCAATCAGGTACCCAGGAACAGGGAGGGACATATGAGTGAGGATTAAGAGGACCCTATGACATTCTCATTCCCTAGTATAGTCTCCCACACCCTCAGAGCCCCCCACCCTTCAGCAGAGGCTTAGCCTAGTACCATTGACCTACCCCCTTCTGGAAGGTTCTGAGCCTCCTTCATGGTCAAAGGGCCATTCTCAGAGGTAAGGGGCATAATTGCCTGGTGCAGTAGCTCAGGGGAGAGGTCAGAATTCTTCAGCAAGGTATCTACTGACATCTCCTGGTGAGGAGAAACAAGGCCACTTAGGAGTGAAAGGAAAATAGGGGAAGAGGATGGAAGGAGGAACAGAGTTCAACGGAAGAGAAGACTGAGAGAGACTAAGGAGTTGAGGTACCGCTGTCTGATTGAAATTTAATAGCAGCCACATCTGTACAGTGGACACATGCAGGGTCTGCTTTCCAAATTGTAGCTCAGCCCGGCCCAGCCATGTCCACTGTAGTCTTCTATGTGGTCCCATGTCTAGAACTGGGTGGTTCTGACCTGATAAAAACACACAAGAAGAAGAAAAAAAAAATACAAGATATTTTAAACCCAAGACTTCTTAAAAATACATATATGTACGTATACCTGTACATATATAATGTATAATATTTTATATATATATGAAAAATAATTAAAGCAAAAATAGCTGGAGCATGGCTCAAGCAATAGAGCTCTTGACTAGCAAATGCCAGGCCCCAATTCCAAACCCCCAGTAACACACACACACACGTTTTTTGACTAGCAAATGCCAGGCCCCAATTCCAAACCCCCAGTAAAACACACACACACACACAGACACACACACACAGACACACACACACACACACGTTTTTTGACTAGCAAATGACACACACACACACACACACACACGTTTTTTGACTAGCAAATGCCAGGCCCCAATTCCAAACCCCCAGTAAAACACACACACACACACGTTTTTTGACTAGCAAATGCCAGTAACTAACACACACACACACACACGTTTCTTGACTAGCAAATCCAAACCCCCAGTACACACACACCCAATTCCAAACCCCCAGTAACTAACACACACACACACACACACACACACACACACACACACACACACACACACACGTTTTTTGCCCAGGCTGGTCTGGACTACACTCCTCCTCTATTTATGCATCCCTTATAGCTGGATGACAAGCATACACCAGCATGCCCAACTTTTTTTTTGTGGGACTGGGGTTTGAGATCAGGGCTTTGTGTTTGCAAAACAGGCATTCTAACACTTCAGTCACACCTCCAGTCTGTTTTGCTCTGGTTATTTGCCCGGACTGGCTTAGAACCATGACCCTATGGATCTCAGCCTCTAGAGTAGCTAGGATTACAGGCTTGAGCTATCAGGACCTGGCCATGCCCAACTTTGTACAGACTGAGACTGCTAATTTTTTGCCTGAACTGGCTTCAAACCATGATCCTTCTGCTGTCCACCTGCAGAGTAACTACGATTACAGGTGTGAACCACCAGGCCTGGTTCAACACATTATTTTTAAAAAGTAGTTAGAAACAAGGGGAAAAGTGGGAAGAATCCAGTCTTTCCTGAATAAGCTGTACTTCGGGGTTAACTAAATAGTTAATGATAAGAAATTTCTCTTTATAGAGAAAGCATTCCAGCCAACTCGTGAAACAGTGACAAAACTAGAGTATCACTATTTTGCAACCCATAATGAAATGATAGATGTAAAAAGCTGATGGAAAACTACAGGTAATGTACAGATAGACTGATAATGCAGAATCCAGTGATCTATCTTAACATCACATGCCTTCTAGTGGAAGGACAAAATACCAACAATGAGGCATTCTTGCTCAAGAAATCAAACTCAAACCTGGCCAGGCACCAGTGACTCATGCCTGTAACCCCAGCTACTCAAGAGGCAGAGATCAGGAGGATCTCTGAAGACAGCCTTAGGTAAATAGTTCACAAGACCCTATCTCAAAAAAATAAAACCCCAACACACACACAAAAAAGGGGCTGGTAGAGTGGCTCAAAGTGTAGGCTCTGAGTTCAAGCCCCTGTACCACAAAAAAAGAAAAAGAAAAAAAAAAAAGAAAATCAAACCTGAATATGAACAAGACTCCACATCCAAATATCAGGAGATAAGGCAGACAGAACACAGTAAAGGACACTATGCGAATGCAATCAGTAAAAACTAGCCTGTGGACAGCTCTAACTGGCAAACAACCCAGTTTTCCTCCACAAGGGGAAAAGGGGAGCCTATCACCTAAGAGAGATGTAAGAGATAACCAAATGTAATATGTGGGCTTTATCTGGGTCCTTATTAAACAAAATAACCAAAAAGCTCAAGCCAACCAGGGAATTATAAACACTGGCTGTATATTTGATGATATTGGGAATTTTTGTTAACTTCTAAAGGTTTAATAAAGGCAGTGTCCTTGTCCTTATTTTTAAAAAGTGAGTCCTTGCCTTTTGGATTTGAGGGTGGGACAAAGTAGATTGGTGGTATAAATGGAACAAGACTAGTTTAGAGCTGACACGTGTTGGTATAATGGAGTTTATCTAGCCTGTCTACGTTTGAAATTTACCATAGTAAAAAGACTTTTTAGTCTCACATGGTGGTACATGTTTGTAACCCCAGCATTAGGGAGGCAGAGGCAGGAGGATTGTGAATTTGAGGTTAGCCTAGAATACGTAACAAGACCTTGTTTCAAAACAAACAAACAAACAAACAAAAACTGAAGGTGTAGCTCAAGTGGTAGAGTACCTGTTTTGCAAGTGCAAAGCCCTAAGTTCAAATCCAGACCCACCAAAAACAAAATTCCAAAACAAATTTTATGAGGTGAAAATAACTCATTCTCAGACAGATAAAAACTGGTAAGGTTTTCCACCAATACTCCCTCAATGAAGAAACTGCTAACAGAAGTACTTAAAAGGATCGGGATGCAAAATGAATGGTGACAAAAGCAATTGGCATAATGGCAAATGTAAACATCCCCTGAAAACAACAATAATGATTAAGTTGGGAGGTTATCTGCATTCAGGGAAGATAAGGCAGTAATATCTGATAACTCTTCAAAGAAGTGAACCATTCCACATAATGCTGTTCTTTTGGTAGGACTGGGGTTTGAACTCAGGACTTTGCTTGCAAAGCAAGTACTCTACCACTTGAGCCATACCTCCAGTCCTAGAAACTACTTCATATCTACACTCATGTCCAATGGTACCCTCCTTTTCCTCTGTTACCCCGAAGCTCACCCCAGTCTCTAGTTTCCTCTCCCTAGCTCCTTACTCTGGCTGTAGAAACTGGAGAAACGGTCTAGGGCATCACAGAATTCTGTGGGAAAGCACTTTCTGGGATGGTGCAGGTAGCAGAGTGGGGACACGGGCCAGCAGCGGGGCGACAGGACCAGTATAGAAACTGTTGGGCTTGAATCTTCCATAAACAGTTCTTTCTCAGCCTCCTCTTCCTCCTGAGGAACAGAAGGATTTCAAGGGCCCAAGGGTTCTCTCAAGTCTAGTCTTCTCTTGTTCTCCTATTCTCCCCTTTCTTCTTGCTCTTACCTCCTCTTCCTCCAGTCCCTGTTCCTCCTTGTCCTCCTGCTGTAAGAGTAACCTGTCAAGCTGCTGAAGCTGGTAGACATGGAACTGGCGCTGCAGCTCCTCTGAGGTGCTGAGGCTCTGCAACATGAGCTGGGGGAGGCGGTTGGGGAAACAGAGGCCGATCTGCTCCAGCACGGCCCCCTCCAGCCAGCTGGAGCCCAAGCTCAGGAGACGGTCTGCCATGTAGTGCCTGCAGCACACAGCCCAGGAAGATCTCAGTGTAAGCTCCAGCAAAGCTCAGCCCCAGATAATCCCTCCAGAAGGCAGTCCCTATATTGCAGCCTGCCTGAGTCACAGGCCCTGCCTTACCTCTTCTTTCCCACTCCCTTTCCACCAGTGCACGCCCACCTCCACGTCTTAACACTCTTCCCACGTCTCCTCTCTAAGGCTCAAAAACACCCTCTCTCTAGACTCTAGCTCACCCATCTACCTCTCCAGACCTGCACTCACTGATAGAAGTGCTCAAAAGTAGTGGCCAGCTCCAGGCCAGAAAGGACCATGATGGGTTCCAGGTGCCGCTGAAGCCGCCCCAGCATTTCCACTCCAGGGGCTCCACCAAGCAAGCCCCCCTGGATCAGTTGGTCAATGTGCCTGGCAAACTGCTCACTCATCTGGGGACAATGGAATGGGCACTGAGGGAGTGGAGTAGGAGAGTGGGGAGTGAAAGGAGGAGAAAGGATAGAACAGGAGATGAACATGCCACAGAGGCTGTCAGCCTGGGCCTGGGAGGTGGTGGGACTCACATGAGCAGCGGTGAGGAAGGACTGCTGCAGCAGGGCACCAGAGAAGCCGCTACGCAGAGCCAGTGTGAATGCTGCTCGAGGTCCGAACAGCTCCGAGCCTGCCCTCTGCAAGTGCTCGTAGAGTTTACAGTAACGAGGCACAAAGTCTGGGGCCCTCCAGGCTGCAGCCAGGAATCTGCTGACCTGAAGAGGTAGAGCAAGAAATGACATAAAAAGAGCATATTCCACCCACCCCACTTTAGCTTCGTGTCTGCCCACCTGCTCCTGCACCACACTCAGCCAGCACTGGGTGATGTTCCTCAGGCTGCTGCTTGGAAGAACTGGTGAAGGCACAGGGCTCCGATCCCGACCCTTAGTGTTTCTGCTGACTGTGGAGAAAGATGGAAAGTGAGTCCAGGGGTCTTGGGTGCTCATCCTCTGGAAAGGCCAGGAGGTCTCAAGGACCTAGAAAGGCAGAGGAAAAAGGAGCCAAATATTCCCACAGTGTAGATTCTCACTTGGGTCAGCCATGTTGGACTCACAGGGACGAGGTGATGGCTCAGGAGAAGGCCCAGGAGGAGGCTCCACGTGCACCAGCAAGTGGCAAAGGCGGCGAACTCGAGAAGCAAAGGACGCTGCTCGACTCAAGGGGATCTGAGAGCTTTCCCTCTGCTCTAAGTACTGATCCAGCAGCCATCCCAAGGAGCTCACACCTTCCACATCTGAAAGAAGGCAGGTCAGGAACAAGTGTCCATGGGAAATGGGAGAACAGACAGCTAAAGGAGGAGAGGGGAGAAGCAATTATACAAAAAGGTCTTGGGGGCAGCAGAACCCTACTCCTCCCCTCACCAATGGAACCTGGAACCTGGAGACATGGTAACTGGGGGAGAGGGTAGTTTGGAGGGGAAGATTCAAATACCAGTGTCTCAGGGAGCAGTCCCTGGAGTGGGAAGGAAAGAGGTACATTGAGGTGACAGGCCTCTGAACCCAAAGGTCACAGAGCACTAACTCAGGTGGTCCCTGGGAATAATGACGAAGAGCAGGTTAGCATGGCCAGGGTGGATGGTTACCGGGGCAGGTGATGTTCTGCACGAGGGGGCTGACCAGGGCCTCCCAGCAGGTCTTGCCCAGTGCTTGGGCGGCCTCATCGTCAGGGAGGAAACGATCAGCAAAATTCTGCTCATGACGCAAAACTCTGTTCAGTCTAGGAACACAGTGTATGGCCAAAGATTAAAGATAGAGTTCTCCGCGGCCACCACTCAAGAGCAAATCAACTCCCAATTGCCCCATGCTTGGTCCTTTTACACAGTTCTCCTCTGACAGCACACACTACTCACCTGTATTCAACTTCTCCTGGTGTCCAGGCTGTAGTTTCACCTTCAGATTCCCACAGAAGCATCTTTCCTGCCCTCTACTTCTCACAATGCCCTGTTCCCTTAACTATCTTCCTCTTTGTGCCTCACTCACCTGGGACAAAGCTGTAGGAGGCGCTTGCGATCCTCTGCTATGTCCTGGCTCCAGACTTGTGCCCGAATTGTGTAGAAGAGACATGTACGGCGACACAGCTGCTCCCGGAACAGTGGCCAGAAAGTGGGCTTAGGGCCCAGGACTTCCACACCCCGAACCCGAGTGTCAATGCCACCCTGCAATGCACAAATTAGAAACCCCAGTCACTATACAGAATCTGTATCACTTCCGATCCTCAGCCCCTAGTCTCCTTCCAGCCCCACCTGCTGGCAGCGCTTTATGCGGATCTGGATGACAGGCCAGAAGCGGTTCAGATTCTCTAGGAGGGTCACCCGGCTAGCAGAGGGCATCACATTCACCTGGCAGGGCAGGAAAGAGAGGGTAGAGACAGAGCTGTCACCTGAAGTGGGGCTGGAAGGACAGCTGACAGCAACTAAGCTGGGTATGGCATGTGCCCTTTATTTCTCCTGCCACGAGCCCAGGGGCCTTCGTGGCTCCACATCCCTAATTCCACTCTGCTTACAAGTCAAGGCCTTCTCAGAAGGAAGGGAGGAGGTCATTCCCCCAGAGACAAGGTCCTTTTCACAGGTTTGGGACAAACTAAAGGATGGGGAATATGGTACGGGGGGCACAAGGGTCCCCACCGTGTTAAGCTCGGTGCTGATGCAGCTGGTGCTGTCACCCCCAAACACCACCACCCTGGCTGGCATGTAACTTGAGTCCTCACTGGCCACCAACAGAGTCAGCTGCCTGAGAGAAGAGAAAGGCATCAAACCTAGGGCCCCAATCTTAGTTCAAATCTATTTCATCATACCACTTCCTCCTCTGGCTCCTGTTCTTTGCTGGCTTCTGCCACACCCATCTTCCCCAGTCCCTAGGCTCTTCCCTTTATATTTCTCCAAAGTCACAAATACACAAATGACCTAAGATCCACATTTCTACCTGTCTGTTCTCGAGTGATCATACTGTGTACTTGATGGACCTTTCTGTGTCATGAGCCACGGGCAACTCCAAGTCAACATGCCAACGTCAAACTATCATCTGTATACATAAACCTGCCCCTCCCCCGCCCCACTTCCTATTTTTCTCTCCTGAAAAATAAATGAGCCACCTACCCACTACAGACAAATCTCTCTCATGGTGTCCCTCATCCAGTCAATGCAAGTCCTATAGATCCCCAGTCCATCAACCCTTCAATTCCCAGTCCCTCTAACTGAATACATGGAACATTCCTCAACTAGGCTGCCATATAAACCTTCCAACTCCTTTTTCCTAGTCTCTAATCCAAACTTCCATAATTACCAGAGTGGCTTTCTAAGTAAAAAAATCTAATTTTGTCCCTCTCCTTTTAAAATCCTTCAATGGCTCCCATGTTTCAGAGTAAAACTTAAGCTTAGCTCATAAAACTTTGTGACCAGCCACTGCCCACTCTTCTGGCATCATGTCTTGCTATTTTGATCCAAACACCCTTCATTCCAGCCAAACATAATTTAGTAAAAGTTCCCCAGCACAGCATCCTGTTCCTTACTTCCAGATGGCACAAATGTTGTCCTTCTGCCTGTAATGTCTATTAGGCATTCTTTATCTAGCTAATTTTGACTTCAAACCTTAGCTCAGCCAATCCCCCCTTCTGGAAGGAAGCTTCTCTGACCCCTTGCCTCAGGATCCAAGGCACGTATTGACCATGATGCTTTTTTTTCTTTCTTCTTTCCTTTCCTCCTTCCCCCATCTTTTTTTTTTTTAAAAAAAAGAAAGTGATTCTTCCTGCACAGCAAGCTAGCTTTAGAGAAATTCATTGCTCAGCAAACTCTCAAGAGTGTTATAACCAAGAGTCAACTTTTTTTTTTTTTTATAGTACTGGGGTCTGAACTCAGGACCTTATGCTTGCTAGGCAGGCACTCTACCACTTGATCCATGCCCCCAGCCAGTTTTATTTATGTTTTTGAGACAGGGTCTTGCTATATAGCCTAGGCCTCAGTCTCCCTAGATCACAGGCATGTGCCACTAGACCCAGATCTCTAACCTATTTTCTAGATGGCTTACCAACTAGACTGCAAGTTTCCTGAACACAAAAACTATCCTATTGTTCTTTTATGTCTAGAACCTTACACAGTACCAGGAACAAATGCCTGGCATTAAACAAGTACCGAGCGGAAGGTAGGTGAGTTACTAATTTCTAAGCATAGGGCAGTGACATCTACATCTGTTGGGGGTACCAGTCACCATACTTCACAGAGGGGGTGACTACATGTAGCACAGCAAAGGTAGGTCAATACGTCAATATGTTCACTGCACAAAATGGGTTTGAGTACATCCCTCAGGGATGGGGGTAACAGAGTTGTGTGTTTGGGGAAGTATGTTGGGATAAATCAAAATATTCAGAGTTCATGTGTACACATGGGTGTGTTCACACCTAACAAGAACACCACGGTGCATGTGCAAGGTGATGTAGTGGGAGCCAGTGCTGCCATTGGACTCCCAGTAGGTCTTGGGATTGCGATCCATAAGTTTGCAGGCCCGGTGCGGGTTGGAAGACACCTCCACCTTCTGCCAGCACTTGTCCTCCTTCACTTCCACGCTGGAGCCTGGGGGCACGTGGAGAGGGGTGCAGGTTGTAGCTTGGTTAGATGAGACAGAAATAATGAAAGGGACTGGGGAGCAGGAAGGGAAGGGAAAAAGAAGATGCTGGGTGGGAACCAGGAGAAACCACAGGGGGGCACTAACCCTGGCAGAGATGCCTGAGAAACACATCAAAGAAGGGGATATTGATGGGTTGGTGGGTTCGTCTGTGGTCTTCAATCTGTCCCAGCACCATCTGCAGCCAAACATCAGAGCAGGGCACAGGGAAAGGTAGGGATACAGAAAAACACACAGAAACATGTGTAGAGAAAAAGTGGTCAAGAAGCAACAGAACACTCAGTTTCTCTCCCAATTTTGGTAAGACCATATGGGGTAAGGTTTAGGGAATAAGATTTGTTGCTACTTCTGTCAAACAGGGATCCCAGGAAAAGAGGGGGGAGAGGGAGAGAGGGAGAGAGGGAGAGAGGGAGAGAGAGAAAGAGACCCTCCTTCCTCACCTGAATGCAGCCAGCCAGGATGCTGGAGGTGAGATTGCTATAAAGCTGGGCATATTTCTCACACTCTGTCACCAGGTCCCGAAGCTCAGAGGCCAGCAGCAGCTGAGCCGAGTGCTTGTCCAGGACTTTGGAGAGAGCCTCTTTTGCTCCCAGGCAGCAGAGCACCACTGCATAGTCCTTATGCATTGAAGCCAAGCGATGCAGGAAGCTGGTCAGCTCTTGAACAATCTGAGCCCAGAGCCACATGTGTTAGTTTATGGAAAACAAAGGGTAGGACATGTAAAGGATAAGGGCTGAGTCCAGTGAAGGAAATGTGGTGGATGAGATTCTAAAGAATCTCGAAAGCCCAGGGAAAGGACACTACCATGGACAGAATGGGACAGAATACTGGAGTGCTGAGACTCCAGAATGAATTGGCAGTGGCAGAGCTTAGGCAGTTTCTCAAGCTTCTTTCTGCCAGAGCCAAGCTATCCCAAGAGCCAATACTGGTGCCTGAGCCTTGCTCCATGATGCACAAATCCTGGCAGGCAGAGAGGAAGGACTGTTTGGATTGCTGAGTGTGAGCTTCTACTAAACCCAGAATGTAAAATCCAAGTATAGCCACAAAGTCTACAGTTCAAAGACCCAAGTTCTAGAGACTCTTGGGTGGCATTAGACTTCCCCTTACCCCCATCCCAGTGCCCTCTAAACCATTTGGGAAGGCTCTGCTACACATACAAAGCCTGAAGAGGCAGGTGGCACCTCATTTGCTGCCTTCCCTCCCCCACCCAATAGGGCTCTGATACCTCAGAGTCACTGCTGGGGCCACTCAGACAGTTGAGGCAGGGCTCCAAGACCTCATGCCAGGGGAGGACCACTGTCTCCGGGTAATCCAGCAGTCGGGTCATGACCCTAGTGAGAGTATGGAAACAAGTGAACTCTCTGCAGTCCCTTATTCCCTGTACCTGGGTGCCTAGATAGGCCCCTCACCTCAGCACAGTCAGCAGCAGAATTTTGTTGGGCCCAGGGGCATCCAGAGTCCGCAGCAACAAGAGGAAGGGCTGGGTCTCCTGCTGGAGGCGCTTGAGGAGCGGCTTCACGGCGCCCCCTGGGCTGCCCTCGCGGCACAGCATGCGTTCCAAGTCCAGGAGGAGTTCTGCAGATGGGCCCCCCACCAGGGATCTAATCAGTAGTTCGGGGGACCCATCCTGACCCTGGGTGCTTGGGGTTTCCAGTGCTGCAAGCCGGACACACCAGAGGAAAAAATGTGCATGAAAAGGAATCTTACAAGTCGGTCAAACCGAGAAACGGGAAGGCCCAGAAAGTCACCCCAAATTTTCTTCCCATATCGAGGAAGTTTTACCAAACTATGAGAGATTTTCTTTTCTGGTCCCAAACAGAGACCTAACTACATTTGAAAAAAATCTAGTATAGCAAACATTGACAAATTAAATACATTTTTAATCTCAATTACCTTTTATTAAAGTGTTAGCTATAATAAATAATAACTACTATAATTATATCCTTAAACTGCCTAACATTGCAGAGTTTTTTTGGGTTTTTTTTTTTTTTTGCGGTACTGGGGCTTGAACTCAGGGCCTACACCTTGAGCCACTACACCAGCCCTTTTTCCATGATGGGTGTTTTCAAGATAGGGTCTTGTGAACTACTTGCCCAGGCTGGCTTCAAACCATGATCCTCCTGATCTCTGCCTCCTGAGTAGCTAGGATTACAGGTGTGAGCCACTGGTGTCCGGCCTAGCATTGTGGTTTTATATATATATTGCTTATTTTGGTATCCATACTTCCGGGTTTCACTTTTTTTTAAACACATAAAGGGTTTCTTCCCTATGACATCAATATTTCACTTGATGTTTCTAATCACATACCTTTTATCTTTTTTTTTCAGTGCTGGGGATGGAATCCATGGCCTTGTAAGAGTTAGGCAAATGCTCTACCACTAAACTACACCCCATCCCCAACCACAAATTTTCTGTACCATAAATTGCAATTCTTCTACTGAAGGCCTCACTATATGTCATTTCAATCCATTTTCTATTTTCCACTAAGACTGGACCAAACCTAGCCAAGACCGAAGGGATTCCAACAATGTTTAAAGCCATTCAAGAAGACAATTTTGCTGCACCTACTCTAGAGTCTCCTTTTCCTCTTGGTCAGGAAGTTCTACTTAAGATCTAACATGAGCACCAAAAGAAACCCTGAAGATTCCTTGTGTTTCCAGTAAGGGGCTGGTATACGATCTTTGGTCTTCATGACCAGGGGCTGGCGCTGTATGATTCCTCAGCAGAACCACCCCCTCCACAATGGTACCTGCATGCTCGGAACTGCCCGGTGGCTCTGAGTAGCGATTGAGAAGCATCATGAGGATGGTGCGTGTGGTGGGCATGGGTTCTGTCCCCGGTGCTATCCCTGAGTGTCTAAGTAAGGTGTCTCTCAGCTCTTGGGTTATAATCTGGTCTCCCAGAGTGTGGTGGTTGCACAAAAGCAGGTTGAGCAGAAGTAGGCCATTTCTCACTGCAGAGGAGCACCTGGGAAGAGGGAGGTGATCAGGGAATAAAATGACAGTTAATGCAGCTGATTCAGGAAAACAAGTGCAGAGGGCCCTTCAGTTGGAGGGGCTTCAGTGGTCCCTTTGAGGCAGGATTTCTGATCACCTGACCTCAGGCCATTCTTCCCAGCCCCATGATGGAAGGTCAGGACCTCTTTGCCTTCTCTTCCCTATCCCCAACCAGCTGGCCTCTCTTCAAAAGACATTCAGAGGGGTCACTGGTGTTTAATCCAGAGGTGACAACAAAAGGGGATGTCTGTGGAGTACAAGAGCCTGAGCCAGAGAAGTTTGGAGGGTAATATTCTAACCCCTCAGTGTTTAGCATCAGGATCACAGCTGCAGGGACACTAAGAAGCAAGCTCTCAGAGCCTGGACGTGTGGCCGAGTCAATGCTGGCGAAGATCTCTCTGGTCATCTGAGCATCAAACAAAGGCTGGATGGAATCTCGGCCAGTAACAAAAGTGGGGATTTCCGAGGAGCTGGCAATGGCCAGCATCTTCAGTGCCTGTAAGGGGAATGTGGAAAAAGAGTTAGGTAGGGGTGGATAGAGCCATTACAAGAAAGGGTGAAGCCAAAATCATTGTTCTAGATCTCAAAATTTGGGGCAGAACTGTTTGTAAATAGGTAGCATAAGAGATGGAAATAGGAGACACGGTGATAGGACATCAAATGCTAAGGAGGATGTGCAATGGAGGGAAGAAGGGAGGGAGGAAGAAAGGACTGAAATGAAAGCAAACAAAACAATCGAAGAGTAAATGGTAAAATCCATCTGCCATTTCTCTTTGCCCCTAAAATTGGGATGCTGCCCTTTCACAGCTTGTCTTCAGAGGTTTTCCTTGAAGTCGCCTCCCATTTCAGCTGACCATTCTTTCCTTCGTAAAACGTCTCTTCCCTGAGTTCCATGCCTTCATAGCCTCCTGATTTCCCTCCTGCCTCTTTGCTGTTCTTTTGTCTGGTCATCAAACACTAAAATTCCGTGTCTCCTCTCATCTCCCTCCATAGACAACCTTGACCACTCCCATGGCTTCACCACCTATATGCCAACATTTCCAAAGCTATGTCCCCTGGCCTTCGCCTACATCCAGCCCTTTTCAACAAGGTTACTTGGTTGTCTCACAGGCAAAGTGGTTGGAATTATAGGAAAAGTACTTGTAAAATTAAGTTAAAATGAACACTGTACCTTAGAGTAGAGAATATCTCTGCTGGTAAAAGGGCTGTCTCTAGAAGAAACTCGCTAGGGATAGGCTGGTCTAGAATTAATTTTAGAACAATTCCCCTTGTCAGGCCCAGGCCCTCCAAGCAAATGCTATCTGGTAATAGGTTTTTTCCCTTTGGTTACCCCACTCTGCTCCAATGAGCTAAATTCTACAGACCTCAATTTATAAGCAAGATGGTGAGATTTTAGTATGGGCAAGAGTTTGAATTTAGAGGAAAATGCTGTATTTTGGTCATACAATTTGAGAAGATCAGGGAATTCTTTCAGTGCCTATGGCCTAGAATATGAATGCCTAGATACTCTTAGGAAGAACAAAAACTAGCTGACCCCATAAAGGAAGCACTTCCTGGCCTCTCTCAGAACAGTCTGCTCTGAGAGGACATGTGCTCCTGTCCAGGGTGTTCCCATTGTACTGTTGGAATCCATTCTCAGTACTGCTCTGGCTGAGGCATGCCTGTCCCCTTCAGGAACCTTTAGGCCACACAGAGCCACACTGCCCACACCACACTACCAGCCAGTAGTCTTAAGTAGCTAGGAAGCTAATCTTCTATAAGGTCCTCTGAATTCTATTCTCTGGCCAGAGTAGCAAAGCAATGGCCATGCTGTCTTTGTTGTACCCAAATCTGGTGATGGAGTATTTACTGTGTAAGGGTACAACTCTGATAAAAGGGTAAAAAATAATTTTTTAACTGTCACACTAGAACACTAGTCTTTAACATACTTAAAAATGGCTCCTGACCTCCCCATATCTCTTCCTGCAACATTCTCTCATTTAGTAAATGCCCACCTCATGTATCCCACTGCTCAGTTTTAAACCAGAGTGTCATTCTTTTAAAAACTCCCTTCTATTTTTCTCCAAACATGCACTCAATCTCCAAGACTGTCCAGATCACACTCTTAAATTCATCTGCATCTTTCCACTCCAGTGTCTACCACACCGTGTCAAAATCACCACAGTACCTCTTCCAAGTCACCAGTCCCTCAATCTGCTTGTCTTGCCCACTGCTCTCTCTGGACAGGTCCAGTGCACTCACCGCCAGGCCTGCCTGCTGCACCAAGACGGAAGTCTTATATTCTTGCATGCAAACCAGCACAGCGTAGATGCCACCCTCCTTGGCAAAGAGTGGACGCCACTCATGCTTGGTCATAAGCAAGTAAAGGAGGCGCAGGGCCAGGACCACCACCATCTTCTCTCCCACCTGGTTGGTCAGCAACTCCACCAGTGTCTTCACTAGCTTCTCTCTGAGAAGAGAAGAAATCCTGGGGCTCTCCATCCCAAGGAGTCTTGCCTGATTTCTCAGTCATGACACCATCTCACTCCCTACCCAACCCCACCCATCAAGTCCATTCAATCCTCCCTCCTCCAACCTGTCCTCCTTGTCCCAGCCTCACCACTAATCCCTCACTTCTGCAGTCTAACTGCCCCTGGCTCCTCACCTACTGAAGGGAGGCAGTAGAGGAAAATGATTATAAATTCTGGCTTTTCAAATGAATCTATAGATTTAATGTAATTCTAAGCAAAATTCTTTAGAAGTTAAAAATATGACAGGTAGATTCAGGCAAAAGTGTTTGGAAAAAAACAATTTGCCTACAGTTAACCTAAATATAACTATAAACATATAATAATCAAAATTCTGGAACTGATATAGGGTAGCCAGAGATCAACAGACAACAAGAGAGATAAGGGTAACATCTCAGGAAGTAAGCAAAGATGGACATTTAAAAACTGACGTTGGAGTTGGGTGCTGGTGGTTCACACCTATAATCCTAGCTACTCGGGAAACAAGAGATCAAGAGGATCATGGTTTGAGGCCAGCCTGGTCAAATAGTTTATGAGACCTTATCTTAAAAATACGTACAAAAAAAGGCTAGCAGAATGGCTCAAGTGGTAGAGTGACTGCCTAGCAAGTGTGAAGCTCTGAGTACAAACCCCAGTACTGCCAAAAGAAAAAAAAAAAAAAACAACTCTGATGTTGGAGGTGGGTGTGGTGGTACACATCTGTAATCCCAACACTCTGGAGGCAAGGTAGGAGGATAGAGAGTTTGAGACCAGTCTATGCTACATAGTGAGACCTTGTCTCAAAAAACTAATGTAAATTAATTAATTAAAATAAAAAACAGTAGCAGGCTGGGGATGCAGCTCAGTGGTAAAGGGCACAGTTCAGTGTCAGTGACAGATGCAGATGAGGTAGCCTGGGAACTACAGAGGGAAAGAATACACATGGAGAACTTCAGGGAAAGAAGGCAAATTAAGGTACTGGGGAAGCTCTGTTTTGACCTGTCTTTTCTCAGAAACCTTATGATGATGACAGCATGAATCAAATATAATTTAAGTACACAGCTGTTTCTGTAGCTACAATTTCTTATGAACTACTTAACACACAGATAATAATGTTAACTCTATTTCTGCAGAGAGGGCTTTTAGATGATCTTTATTGTCCTCATTTTCTAACTTCCTCACCCTGAGCATGTATTCTTTTACAATCACAAAAACAAAGTTATCTTGACTTTCTAAAACACAAACAACCTGAAACATAAATAACAAAAGCTTAATACCAAGAATGCCTATAAATCCATAAGAAAAAGGCAACCCAATAAAAAAGTGGGCAAAGGATAAGAACAGAATGTTCACAGAAGAAACGCAACAAATGTATGCAAATATAAACAACTTCATCAAAACTAAGGAATTAAAACAGACACACCAATTATTTAAGATTTTACCAGTCTTTTCAATTTATAAAAAATGGTAATATCCAGTGTTGGTAGCAGTAAGGGAAAACAGATCTGTTACAATATTGTACTTGAACTTGGCTGTAACTATATCACAGAGTTCCACACAACAATGAAGATGATAAACGGATCCATGCAGACTAACATGGAAAGCCCTCTGAGCTATACTGAGTGAGGGTACAAAAAAGTCATAGAAACATATAATGAGTGTGATTACATACAATAAAACACAAAACTCAGAAGATGCTCTGTTTCTACCCCAGCAATATTTTTATGTGTAATTTTTTGTACATGTATTGAGGTAAAAAATTAACTTAAAAAATTTAAATACTACAAAAATGGTATATTTCCAAACACAATTATAAATCTATAGATGATCTAAAGGATACACTGAACTTACACTAACAGTGGCAGAAAGGAAACTGGACTTTTTTTTGCTCTTATAATATTTGAGCCAAGATACTCCCTACTTTCAAGCTTTAATAGAACCTCTCCCTTCCTTGTTAACTCACTCTATTTTTTTTTCCTGGCAGTACTGGAGTTTGAACTCAGGGCCTCATGCTTGCTAGGCAGGTGCTCTACCACTTCAGCTGCTCTGCCAGCCCCATGCTTCCAGATCTTTTTGCTCTGGTTTTTTCAGATATAGGGTTTCACTTTTTGCCCAGGCCAGCCTGGACCATGATCCTCCCATTTTAGGCTTCCTACCATAGCTGGAATGACAGGCGCACACCACTACTCCTACCATTCTTCTATTGAGATGGGGTCTTGTGAACTTTTTGCCCAGACTGACCTCAAACACCAATCCTCTCAAACTGTAAGTCCTCCCAAACTCAACTTCTTAAGTAGCTAGGATGACAAGCATGAGTCACTGGCACCTGCTTTTTTTTTGAGACAGGCTCTAGCTATGCAGCCCAGGCTAGCCTCAAACACATGATCCTCCTGCCTTAGCTCCTGAGTGCTGGGATCACTGGTATGAGCTACCACATCCAAGCAGAGCTTTTCATTCTACCTTCTTTTATATTCTTCAGGTCTTTTTTATTTTATTACCACTACTGCTACTATTATTATTATTATTATTTGATGGGAGTGGTGACTGAATTCAGAGCTTTGAGCTTGGCAGGCAGGCACTCTACTACTTGAATCACACCTCCAGTTCTCTTCCAATCTTTTAAAATGAGAATGCATTTGTGTTGTATTATTTGTATAATTAAGAAGTAGGAAAAAATTTTAAAAATAAAAGGAAAGTAGGAAGAGAAAAAGATTTTGAGACAAAGTCTCACTATGTAGCCCAGGCTGGCTTAGAACTTATGATCCTCCTACCTCAGCCTCCCAAATGCACTGCCATACCCGGCTCAAAAAAAGAATATTTTATAGAAAAAACTCAAGCTCTGGAGCCAGAAGAACCTATGTTTGAGTCTTGCTCTGCTCTCTGTAGAACTCTGAGCAATTTACTTCCCAGTTTTCTCACCCAAACAATACTACTGGTGTTGGTAATAATAGTGGACAATACTACCTGCGCTTCTTTGGTGTCAGGCAGATTTAATGAGAGAATGCCTGTGAAAATCCACACACAGAAGTGCTCCAGGAATACTGTAATATCCCACCTCCTGCTGCACTGCTCCTCAGGCTAACTCTTCACCTTTCTAATCTCTTTGCTCCTTCTCTCCTACTACATTCTCACTGTCCACAGCTTCAACCCAAACCTCTTCCCTCTGCAACATGCTAACCTCAGCCACCTGTCAGGACGGACCAGAGGATGGTCCTGCTCAGTGACCTCCTCCACAGCCTGAGAGAGGGCAGAGAGCCCTGAAAGTTGCAGATTTGTGTCCAAGCTGGATATATGCACAGTGGCCACAACTGCTGCCACACGCTGATCCAAGGAGCTTCGTGGACCAGGACCCCGCAAGGCTCTAGCCATTTCTGAAATTGGAGGAGGAAAGGCAGTGGTTAAAAGAATTGTGGCACCTCCAAGATGGGAGTCATAAAAATTAAGCCCAGTAATCCTGCGCACATTCGAATACATTATTTGTTACTGTAACTTGCATTTGGAACTTTTCCAATTGTGTGTGAAGGATCCAACCAAAAGTGAAGAGGGAAATACCCTGCAAAATGAGCCCCCTTTCCAGAGAACCTGAAGGGAGGGAGTGGGACTCGTTAGATGTAATCAAGGTCAAAGGAAGAAGAAAGGTAAGTGGCTATGAGGCATTTTTCCCTGAAAAAGGGACCTTTCTCCATCAGGGCTTTCTCTCCACCCTGACTATCCACTTCATCGGTTGGGCCTACCCAGGGCTTGTTCCAATGTCTTTGCCCTTACCCTCTCAAAACCCTACTCACCACTGGCTTCCTCCTTTGTTTCAGAAGACAAAACCATTCCCTCAGTCACCAAAAGCTGGTTAAAGAGCTGTGAATCACTCTGTGCCATGGGCGACTCAGTCTTTACATTGGCAGGCTCTGCCTCTGCCTTGGGGGGCTCAGCCTTGGCTTTGGGGGACTTAGTCTCTTCCTCCAAGAAGCTGGCTGCTGACTTGGATACCTCTTCTGCATCTGGAGTACAGGAGTGACTTCGTGAAGAAGACAAGCTGCTTAGTTCATCACGTAGCAGCCCATACTTGGTGTAGATTTGGGAGTTGAGCAGGTCACAGAGGAGGTTGCCCTCAAACCGATTACTGAGAGTCTGCAACAGACCCTCTGCCATCTCTACAGGCACAGAGAGCTCACCTAGGGCCTTTTCACCCAGGGCCTGTCAACACAAAGGGTGTGCATTCCATGGACAAGCAGACACGCAAGTCCTAGGACAGTAATAGAAGGGTGGCTACCTCCCATCATGCTCTCATACCTCTACAATACCAGACCCACAGTATGTCTTTTCCCCCAGCAGGATCCCCATACTCTTTGAACCTTTAGCTCTAGCCTCCCCCTAAGTGGTATCCCATTACTAAAACCTCCTCTAGAGCTCCTACCTGTAACCCCACTACACACCCTCCCCCAGGTATCTCAGGCCTATAATACCTTATCTAGTTTCTCCTGAAGATTCTGGAAGATTGGCTGCTGATCACATAGGTCCAACTTCTTAATGAAGAAAAGTAGCTCCCACCACTCAGCCTGAGTCAGGTAACCCAATTCCTTATTCTTCTGAGGTTCAGGTTGGAGGTATGGCAAAGAATAGATGCCATCCACAGACTTCCAGTCCCAGGAGGGAAATGCTGAGGATGTAGGCAAAGGGGTATCGGCTCCTAGCAAAAATAGAGTTGATTTCTGAACCTCCAGGGCAGCTGCGGGTCAGAAGCAGCTTCATGCCAGACACCAGTTCTCTGTTCAGAAACATGCTATCCACATCCTCTCTTAGGCTCACCTGTGCCCACTATAGTAGCCCCTGTTCCCTTCTCTGTAGTATCTGAAGCCAAATTCCCAGTAGCCTCCTCAGGTCCCAGGACCTCCAGCATGTGCCAGTGCACCCAATAGGTACGGCCTGTTGACTGCCAGAAAACCTGCATTGCGAGAAGAATACAGAAGGTTTAGCCTTCTGAGCTCTGGACAGTGAAGACTTGAGAGGACATACACAGACCCACATCCAGGACACACACTCAGATACCTGGAAAGGCTTAGAAAAACCTCCATAGTGCTAAAGGCTTCCTTCCCCTCTGAAGAGTGGTCCCTGTCTCTCTTTCTCACCTTGATGGCTTCTGGTCCCACACTTCCTTCCTTCACTGGTGGTAGCGTTGGGGCATTGTTAATACATCATTTCTGCTTCCTGGGTATAAACCTCTCCACAACCTCACAGCCCACTCACTTCTACCAAATTCTCTCAGCTTCCCAAATGGCACCTCCTCATTTGCTGACTCCCTTTTACTACTCCAATACCCCTGATGGTTTTCTCCTTGCGTGACACACCAGAGTCTTCTACGTACAAGTCCTAGCTATGCTTCACCCAGAACAGATCCCTAACAGTGTCTCACCACCATGCATCCCTCACCTGCACAGGGGGCACTCCACTGTTACTCTGCCGGAACTCGCCCTCATCACCAGCGCTGATCTCCTCGTAGTCATCCAGAATTCGCACTCGCATCCCTGGCTGCAATGTCTGCTGCACATACTCACCATAGCCACTACGGCTAGAAAATTCACAGCGCTGGCGGAAGGCCCGCCCTTGCCTTCTGGGGGTAGTGACAACGGTGGGCAGTAAAAGGGGGGGCCCTGAAATGCAAGGCTGAAAGATGGACCGGGGTGGCCGGGGTGGTAGTGGGCCCTGTTCACTGAGGTTCCGGGCCCAGCCCATGCTCCGCACCAGCTCTGAAATGAGATTGCCCACTGCCATGCTGAACTCCAACTCCCGCTGTCCCCGGCTTTTTTCCTTTGTGGGGCAGGAGGAGCTTTGGTCTCCAGCTTCTGGCTCTGGACTGTTATTCAGCTGATCCAGCAGGGAAGTGACACATAGGTAGCGCTTCACCAGGGAGAAAAGCAGCTTTCCTGGAATCTGTAGGACACAATCTTTGGATTAGGTTCATCTCATCCTGGCTTTGGCCTCTCCCCTTCCCCTACAGACACATGTAAGAGCCTGATGAGGCTAGGCTTATAGTTCTCAGACTTTGATTTATATAACAAACACACAGAGAGTATCTTAAGACACAGATATTTGGGTTTGAATCTTATAAATTCTGAATGGGTGCTGGTGGAGTGGCTCAAGTGGTAGAGTGGCTGTCTGGCAAACATGAGGCCCTGAGCTCAAATCCCAGTACCACGAAAAAAAAAAATTCTGAACAGGAGGGACTGAGAAGAGTACATGAACTTTTGAATAGCTCTTCAAGTGGTTCTGGTACTGACACAGTTTCAGAAATACTGCTGGAGTCTTTACTCCCATTTCCTGCATGGGAAGCAAGAAATGTTTTTCCCTTTTTCTCCCCACTTTATCCTATCATACTAAAATTAATTCCTGATTAAAAAAAAAACCAAACAGAAATACTGCCTTGTACACAGCATTCCTGCACCCCTGGCAGAATACCTGAGGCAGATGCATGCCCTCAAAGGCCATGCAGTGCTCTTCAGAGGATGTGGTCTCTGCAAACAACTCCAACAAAGTATATCGGCTGTCAAAATCCATGTGCTGCTCGATGCCATCTTGCTGGCTCAGTGACAGAAGGACGTGAGCCCGACTCCCTGTAAGACACACCCAATCTTTATCTTCTCCTCCATCCACAGTATTTCTCCCTGCCTTTCCTAGGCTTTTTTCTTCCTGAGAGGCTTTCAAACTTCTTTGTGACTAAGACTCACAGCAAGAAGCAGATTTTACACGCAACCTGGCACAAACATACCCACACATAATTAAAATACACATCATGGTACAAAACTTACAATCACTGATATTGGCTTTTAAAAATATTGGTGGTAGACTGAATGCACACAGCTCATAAACTGACATTTAATGCGTTTTGGCAGGGTTGGGGCTATATCTTAGTGTCTACATTCATTTGCAAATATGTCAACTAAATCAAAATCAAGACAATGTTTCCCTAGATAGATAGATGGACAGACAGACAGACAGATAAACACAGGCTGGCAGAATGACTCAAGTGGTAAGAACACCTGCCTAGCAAATGTGAGGCCCTGAGTTCAAATCCCAGTACTGCCAAAAACTATACATATATATGTGTGGTAACCTACCAAACAGATTTCATAACCAACTAATAAATATCAACCCACAGCTTAAAAACTATAAATCTACCCCCATTCTATTCTTTGTCAATGGATTAAGAATGGGCAGATAAAACAGGTGCTACCATTTTTGTTTATGTATTTGTACTAATTTATTAATCTGTTTCCTTTGCACTGAATTGCTACTCATCAAATACTAGGTTTTTACTTCTGTTTTTACTTTCTTTTTACTCTTTCTATTTTTACTTCTTGTGCCCCATTCTCTCCAATGTTTTCCTTCTTTTCCTGGCTGTCTCTTACCTGCATCGTGGGCTGCCAGAGCCTGGAGCATCTTGCCTGCACTCCGACGGATCTGAGGCTCAGGATTGCACAGCATGTGCATGAGCAGGTCCAGGGCTCCTGTCTCCCTGAAGACCCCAGTGAGGGGCCTGATGCTGGCATAGGCACTGAGCACATGGATGGTGTGAAGTACAGCAGCTGTAAGGCTTGAGGTCCCTCCTTCTGCGAGCTGCCTGGCAGCCCTGCGTACCAGTGCCCGTACATCAGTCTCCATCTCTCCCATTGCTACTTCATCGAGGCCTCCTGGATCGCGGGAAAAGTTTCCTGAAGCTCCAGCTGGTTCATACTGAGGTCCTTTAGATAGTGTCCGCTCACCCAACAGCATAGGGCAGTTAGCATAGACCTCTGGGGCTGACAGCCACATGAGGAGGTGCTCTGCCTTGCCCTCCTCCACACTCACTTTGCCTACTTCCCCACACTTCAGGACACTCCATCGGATCAGGTATTCAGGATGCCCATCATGTCCAGGACGCTGTCGAATAAGTTCTTCAGGATATGCCTGCAGCCGGGGCCCCAAAGGCACCATAAGGTCCCCAGCACGTCGTTCCCCTACCATTCTGATCTCCTGGGATGCACAAGGAGAAGAAAATAAGGCAGTATAAGAAAAGAAAAAGATTAGAGTGGGAGAGAATCTTGGAACATAGGATAGGGTGGGTGGTGATTGATAGACTACATAGCGGAATTTAGAGGCCAAGCAGAAAAGGCCAAAAATAGGATGGAATAAATAGCTGAACACACTTTGGGACTTATAAGAGAAGAAGAATGGAGTGAAAATACTGAGGGGACGAAATGAAGAGATTTAAGAAATGGAAGAAGGCGGCTAGGGATTTAACTCAGAGGAGCAGCACTTGCCTAGCATTTGTGAGATCCTAGGTTCGATCTCCAGCACTACACACACACACACACACACACACACACACACACACACACACACACACACTCATTCACTCATAAAGAAATGGAAAAAGTTACAAAGAGAATGAGAAGGGTAACAGGCAAGGTAATAGTACACAGTAACAGTTAAGCAGTACCATCTGGGTCCTGTAGGGTGACTACGGGATACATATCAGGACTTAAGAGAGATGACATAGGACAGAAGCATGTGAGGTAATGGGTCCAGAGTGTGAGGAAAAAGTAGGATGGATGAAGGGCAGGATGGAGAGTATAAATGACCTAGAAAACATGGAATACAGGTATAAAGAGGCAGGCCATACCAGATAAAAGAGCATGGAGATAAAGGAGGCAGGAGTGTAGGGTGGACAACTGGATGGGAAAAGTGTGTGACACTTGTGGAAGTGGGAGCAGTCTGTGCACCAGATAAAATCGTGGGAGGAAAAAGACCAGGTCTCACCCTGCACTTAAGCCGTATGTAAGTTAAGGGTCTAGATGAGACGGATATGCGTGGAGGTGTACTCATGGGGTTGAAGGTAGGGAATGAGGTCAGGAAAGAAGCAATTTGGTACAGATTTCTGAGTCAGAAAAGTATAACTAAATTCTGACTTTCACTTACTATCTGCACAAGCTGCTCCGAACCTGTGTCCTCTGCAAGATGGTAATAATATTCACACCCACGTCATGAATTTTTTTCATTATTTTGTAAAACATAAGAGCATCTACGTAACACACTCAGAACAGCATCTCACTAAACATAATCTAATACTATTCTTAAAAGGTAGGGACAGTCATTAGATGGGAAGTTATTAAGTCGCAGAATTATTCATGGGAGTAAAATAACCAGGAAAAGGTGTGAGATGGGAGCAGTGTAGGGACAACAGGGAACAGAAGAAGAATGGAAGGTTAATCCAGATGAGGAAGTGGTGACCAGTGCAAGGATGATGTGGAGGGGGGGGATGGGGGTGGGCAGGGACAGAAGCAAGCAGAAGAAAGGCGTGAAGAGGAGACAGGTAAGATGTGGACCTCAGTGGGGGAGGGAGTTCACTTCGCGTGGGGGAAAAGCTGGGGAGGGGAGTAACCAAGGAGACGGCAATGGCAACTGATTAACGCGGGGCCAATTAAAACAATCGGCTAGGCCTGGGGACGCCACGGGGCGCAACGTGGCCTGGACCAGAGGCAATAACTGAGGGATGGCGATGAGGTGTGGATGCGGAGACTGAGGCCGGCAGGTAGCACTGCGTGAGACCGACCCGAGGGGCGGTGGGAGCGGCCAGCACGGCGGTGGAAAGGGTTTGGGGGGGCGGGGTAAGGATGAAGGGGTTCGCGGTCGGACGAGACTGACAGGACCAAGTGAATCTCAGAGCGAGACCTGGCTGCCTTCGCCAGCCCCACGGAGGGAGGTAAGGGGTGGGGCAGGGGTCGGACAAGGGACCGGGTCAGCGCAGAACCCTCCTCTCACCTCCCACCGCCCGGCTCGGCCCTCGCTGGGACCCAGCGGCCGGTCCGCGGTCCGGGTCCCGCCTCCTCAGCAGCTCCCTTCCGGGTCACACGGTGAGTGCACGCACGTCCCGACGGCTACGGGTCCCACCGCAGCCCACGCCGTGCGTGGCGGAACGGCGCGCGGCTGGAGCATGCGTACTTCCCGCGGACGGCTGCGCGCCCTGGGGGCGGAGGGGCGGGGGTGGGACGCTGCAGGAGGAGTCCCGGATGGCGGTCTCCCGCCTGGAAAAGGGCTTTCTAACCAACCCGTGGGAAGCCCTGCTGCTCTTTACTGGGTCAGCCTCCCTCGCCCCCCCATCTCCCGTCACAGCATCACTCTGGAACATAGGAACCCACGCTCCCACCCAAAGGCTGTCCTCTGATTTTTCAGTAGGTCATGTATCCATGCATGAGTCTCCTAAATCCGTCTGCAATACTTCAGGTTAGTTGTGCCGTACTGCCGATTAATTAAAAACTCTGTACTGGCCTGAGCATCAAGCAAAATCATGCACAGAGAGAAATTCCTTAAATTGTGGAGTTTAACAGCCCAAAGCTGTTTCAAAAAGCAACTTAGAGCAGCATTCAAGGGTTTTGTGTTCACACCTCCCTGTGTTGAAAAGATCCCAAAGACAGAGCCAAAGACCCCAGTCTGTGCACAAAAATGATACATTTATTGAAAGTTTTTTTTTTTTTAATACAAAAGAAAGCTCTGTACATAGGACTGTGACCTTGTCCACTATTCCTGGGTCAGCATCCCAGGGGAAGTAGAAACCACTGTTACACACACTCCACATTCACACATTCACTCAGACACACACACACACCCAGAGCCACCGAGGAGGGGAAACACCAAGAGTCTGCACATGTAAATGTCACCTCATCCCTGACACACCTTCTCCCAAGGCCACGCTCACACAACACACATTATAAGCACTTTGCCTGATTCACTCACTGGGTCTGTTTTTTGTGAGGAGAGGCGGAATTTCAGTATCTCCTCCATGGGTGGGGGAGTGGGGAGTGAGTGGTGGTGGAGTGAAACGAGCAGAGAAAGGGGCTGGGCAGTTACAGACCTGAGTCCCAAGCTCCCCCCACTCTAGCCCCTGATTTGCCATGCCCCAGCCTTGAAAGCCACCCATAAGCCCCAACTATCACCTAGGAGAAAGCCCAGAAAGGTGACCTCCATCTTGGCACCCTCAACTGGGGCAAGACAGCAATGTGGGATTAGAGGTTAGGGGGTTCTCAAACGTGTGGGCAAACCATCCCCTCAATATCTAGGCTGTGCGTAAAATCTTCCCCCACCCCTTCACCTAATCACAGAAGCAGGCTTGTTCCTACTGAAGGCAGTAGCAAGGGGCTAAAACTCCACCCCAACTGCTGCCCTGTCTGTAAAAGCTCCCTTTCTGGATACAGGTGGTCAAGGTAGGCTCTGACACAGGGTAAAAGACCCTCCCCCTATGCTAGCCCACCCTCAAGTTCTACCCCAAGGGGGCAGAAGGGGGTGAGGCATGGCCCCTGTACAAATTACATAAATACTGAGGTTACACTTAGAAAAATAAAGTCATTTTCTTCAAGGCTTTTTGTCTTAATTTAAAAAGTTACAGTAGCTGCCCACTCCCTGGGAGAGCTGCCCATTTCTGGCTCCCCATCGCTGCCCTCAGCACAAGAGCTGCTCCTACCTCTTCTGACCCCCATTCCTGCATCTCCCCCCTCCCAGACCCCACCCTGCTCACTGCAACTTGGGCCCCGGGCAGCTGCAGTCCCAGGGCAACACAAGGCTGCAATGCCCATGCTTGTGGCACAAATGAAGTCAGTTGCCTCTACCTGTCACCCTCCCACCGCCCCTCCCCCCTGAAGTTTAGTCTCCCTCTTCCCTCTCCCTAGTAATAGCCCAAAAGGGCAAAAAGAGGCCTGGACCTGTAGGTCACCCTCCCCACCCCGTTGGGGCATGGCCTGAGGGTCCCTCCCCCGGCTTTCTCCTGGAAACAACCCAGGACCGGGCAATCCCAGACTCTCCCCCCCACACTGGTGGACCCCTAGCTCATGGGGTGGCTCTGTCCCCAGGGGCCCAGCCAGTTCTGGGGAGCCCAAGGGCTCCCCAGGGAAGGGGAGTTTGGGCAGGGAGGGGGACGAGAAAAACGCCATAAAAAAAAGTTAAATATTTTAAAAATATATATTTATAGATTTGTTTTCACTTCGTCTCCTCAAATAAAAAGTTCAAAATCAACTTTAAGTAAAGCAGCTGGGAGGAGAGGGGGGGAAGACAAGGGGAAGAAGGGAACGCTGGTGGTTCCCTCCAACCCAAGAGCCCCTGGAGGTCCATGGGAGTGGCAAGGCAGGGCAGGTGGCCCCAGGAACCTGCCCAGTGCACAGGCCCAGCTACTCAGGAGCTGAAGGGGCAGAGGGCGGCGGCGGCATGAGGGAAGAAGCCCCCATCTCCCCAGCTGGCTCCCTGAGGGGCAGGAGCAGGGCTCTTTTGACCCAGCCTGTGGCAGACACAGTGCTGACCTGGGGTCAGCAGGAGGCTGGAGAGAGGACCCCAACTCATTCCTCAGGGGAGGACACAATGCCCAGTCCCACAGGACTGTGAATGGGAAAGTGGGGCACGGTCCTACTGGGTAAGCTAATACTCATGGCAAACATGGAGCCAAGCTGGCGAGGGGAGTCTGAGGAGGGAGGAAGGCCCCACCATCAATAGAAACAGGAGGTGGAGCAGGAAGGAGGGAGGGTGAGGGAGGACGGGGGAGGGCAGGCAGGCCCATTTCTTTGGCTGGAGTGAGAGGGCACAAGTCCTGTGGCTGCCCGCTCCTTCTCCCCGCCTCCCTCCTGCAGCCCGTCAGCATGTGTGTAAAGAAAACGTGAAAAGGCAACAATAAATAAGTGGTGCCACCCCTTGGGCCATCTGTCCAGGGAGGCGGGCGGATCATTCACTCTTGGTGCTGTGGGTGGCGTCCAGGTTCACCACCTGTAGCTCGGTGAGGTTGCTGCTGCTCCCAGCCTGCTGCCCTATCACAGCCATCTGGAGAGAAAGGGGGTTGTGAGGGAAAGGGGGCAGAAAGATGGACCAGCCAGCTCGGGCTCCCCCTGCTGGCCTCCCTGCCCACCACAGCCCTGAGCAGAAAAACAGATGTGCCCCTGGGCTAGGGATTCTGGCTTTCGCCAACTGGTAATTGGCTCTCCCCAGCAGAAGATGAAGTGGCTGTGTGGGAGGAGTTCAGGTGCTCCCACCTACCTGGTGAAGCTGAACTGCAGAAACAGGAATCTGCACTGTCCCAGATGGTGCAGTCAAGAAAACCTGGGGGACGCCACCTGCATTAGAAAATACAAAGATCTCATTTGCTTGCTCAAAAGGACCCTGCAGATACTGGAGGAGTGGTGACAAAATGCACAAATGACTGGTGAGTCTAAGTGTGCAAGAGCATCAGAGTTTGTGTGAGTGTGTTTGTACAGCAATAGTTTGCACATCTTAGTGAGAGAGGGGACATCGCAGTGTGAGGGCACGCTGGGGGGACATTCGAGTGTGTGTGTAAGGGAGGAAGTGCTCCTTTCTTCAGCCCTCACCTTGCTCCTGGACCTGGCTGTGGGACACCTGCATGGTAGATGGTGCCTGAGAGAAGGCATTGAGCACGGTGAGGCTGCCATCAGCCAGGCCTGAGGTGGGGGCATACATCACCGCATGGGGGCTAGGGTACATCATGTGACCACCCACAGTTGTGGGCACGGATGACGTCATGATGGTGGCAGGCAACGTCACTAGAAAACACAGACACACATTAGTGAGCAGGGCACTGGTTCCTACGGGTATCCCTTATCCTGTCCCAGGATTCCAGACTCCAGGGCCTTCTTGCTATGTCCCAGAGCAGAAGCTTGCCAAGACTGTTCCCCTCTGCTCCCTCACACTGACTAAGAAAAGCCTTATTTTTCTCTGAACACAAGAGCCCCAACCTTTTAACCATGCCCTGTCACTTTGTACTACTGGATTGTCTACCCATTGAATTCTGGATTCCCAGGCCCTGAGAGTAAAATAATTGACCAACTCCCAGGAAACTCAGATACTCTCCATTTGGGGAGCTTCATCACCTCTTTTTTCGTTCTTTTTTTTTTTTGGTGGTACTGGGATTTGAACTCAGGGTTTCACACTTTCTAGACAGGTGCTCTACCACTTGAGTCACTCTGCTAGCTCTTTAATGTTGAGTATTTTCGAGATTAGGGTCTCACGAAAACTATTTACCCAGGCTGGCTTTAAACCTCGATCCTCCTCATCTCTGCCTCCTGAGTAGCTAAGATTACAGGCATGAGCCACTAGCACCTAGCCATCACCTCATTTTTTTTTTGTCTGTTTTTATTCCTTCTCACACTTCCTAAACTCATACCTAACAAATTTTTCTTTTTTGTTTGTTTTTTTTTGAGGCAGGGTCTCTCTATGTAGCCCAGGCTAGCTTTGAACTCACAATTCTCTTTGCCTCTGCCTCCCAAGGGCTGGAATTACAGATACCTGGCTCCCAATTCATCTTTTAAACAAGCACTTCTCCAATGTTAACATGTATAGTTACATGAGAATCTTATTAAAATGCACATTCTGATTTAGTAAATTAGGGTGACACTTAAGATTCTGCATTTCCATAAGCTCTCAGGTAACACTGATACTCCCAGGCTCCAGACTACACTTGTGTAGTAAGGCAGAATGACAGTATCTTTAAAAGTAATTTTGAGACTGTCTCAGCATTTCTGAAATGACCAAAGATAGCTGACGAAAATTATGGCTACTTGAAGCCTGTAATACCCTCCCACAAGGAGACAACTGCTCTGTAAGTCCTTGTAACTGAACAAATGATTTCTCCTCAACTCAATCAGGAGGAGGTAGCTTCAGTAGTCTCTAATTTCCTCCTAGACTCCACAGCTCCACTGCAGGGGAAGATTCAAAATCCAAGCCAAGCACCAGTGGCTCATGCCTATAAATCCTAGCTACTCAAGAGGCAGAGATCAGGAGGATCACGGTTTGAGGCCAGCCCGGGCAAATAGCTTGCAAGACCCTATCTTGCAAAAACCCATCACCAAAAAAAAAA